TGAGTTAGGCAGCCCACTGCTGCCTAGATGTCTGCCACCTCAGCCTGGCCAGCACCCTGGGGACCACGGAGGGGTAGAGGTGGGGAGGGCCATATGCAGCATTGTCCTCATGGCTCAAGGGTACCCAAACCAAACTTTTAAAATATTTTTTTTGTGACTGATAACTAAATTACAGGAAGGGTCCCTTAGGACACCCACCCCCGGGGTAAATTTCTTCCGGGAGGCCATGCCCCTTTCCATGCCCACTCCTCTCCCCACTGCTCTGAAAAGAGTTGCGGAAAATAATTTTAGACTTTCCTTGGAGGTGAGAGCCCTCTACTCTGAAGCAAGCTGCTTCCTCGGCTTTGTGACATCAGTGAAAAGTACCAGCGTCCTGGAGGGAATACACGGATGGGTGGTGCCCTCATCACACCTGCAAGACACCTGCTAGTTCTCTGGCTGCCCACTTGTCCCTCCTCCCTGCTCCCCCCCACCCCACCACAAAACAAAAACAAACAAGCAAAAACCCTGAAAGTAGCACTTCCACATATCAAGAAATGAGGAAAGCTTTTCCAGAACCTTCCTTAGGCCTGGGCTCTGCATTTTGCTGAGAGTGAGCTGCATCTTGTGCACAGGGTAGTCAAGGTACTTTGACCATTGTTTAAACATTGGTTAAAATTCAACAATGGACTTGGAGACTTGTGTTTTGGGAATTTTTTTAGTAGATTAGCATTGTAGCACAGTCAGTTAAGCTGTTATTTGAAATTCTGGCATCTTTTATCAGAGTTGATTTAAGTCTTGCTTGCTCTGCCGCTAACCCAGCTCTCTGCTGATGCACTATGAAAAGCTGCAGCTGATGACCAAAGTCCTTGGCTTCCTGACACCCCCATGAAAGGCCCAGGTGAAGTTCCTGGCTCCTGATTCCAGTGCGGCCCAATCCTAACAGAGAATGAACCCTTGGAGATGAGATCTCTCTTTCTTGCTCTCTCACTCTCTCTGCTTTTGAAATAAGTTGTTTTTTTGTGGGGTTTTTTTTTGTTTGTTTGTTTGTTTGTTTGTTTTTTTTTACATTATGGAGCTATTTAATTTACTGCATATTTTGTGCCTTTGGGTAGCTTGTGTTTTAAGGGGTTGATTTGTTTTAGCTGTCAAATTTATGTGTATATAATTATTCGTAACGTCTTTTCTGTTGCTTTCATTTTAAAATTTAGCAGTCTTTACCAGAATTCCATTTACAGAAAGGTAGAATTAACTGTACTTTTCCCTGTGCTTCCCACTGAGTACAGCTCAGAGCCCTGAACATTTTGTGTTATACTCACATAAACCTCAAGCAGTCAAAACAGCACCAGTCCTTGAGATCTGAGTAAACAACAAGGCTGTATATTTTCTTGGCTTTCTTGTTGTCAGACTTGGTGCTGGAGAAGGTGACAATCCAGAAACAACCAGCAAAGACTTTTTTCTCAAAAAGTCATTAAAAGCAGCTTGTTTTCTCTAGCCAATTGGTTACAAAGGGACAACATATCAAATCAGAAAACATTTAGATAATATCTGTTCTGTTATAGCCCAACACCACAGAAAAAACTTTGGGCCACTCCAACCATCTCCAACAAAGGTGGTGGCAAACCTAGATTTCCACTTCAACCAGGAGTAGTGATGCACCCTATTTAGGGTGGTTTCTGAGCAAATTTAGCAGCAGATCACAATGTGCACCTTTGTCTAGCAGTAATGAAAACACCTTAAGAATAACAAAAACTTAGTTTGATCAACCAATAAACACCAAGATGACAGATAATAAATAAATAAAGATAATAAGGCACTCATCATAAAGATGCTTCTGGGGGAATGGGGACTGGGGAAGATGTTTCTGTGAGTGACTGTGTACACACTTGAAACAAGAAAAAAAATTATATCCCTCTTTAATTCCTGATGTTGGAAATTTTGTGTCTTTTTTTCTTTTGCAACTGGCTAGTTACACTGAACATTTTGTAAAGTTGTTGCTTCATTATATTTTTCATTTTTCTGGTTTTAATCATACTGATTTTTGCTCTAATATTTATTATTCCCATCCTTCTGCTTACTTTTGAGTTTACTTTGCTCTCCTTTTTTCTAGTTTGAGTTAAAAGCTTATTATTTTTGAAACTTTCCCTCTTCTAATGTAAGCATTTTGTGCTGTAAGCTTCCTTCTGTCTTGTTAGCTGTATTTCATAAATTTTGATGTGTTCTTATGTTCTTATTTTCATTGTCTTTTAATATTTTCTTCCCTTGAAATTTCTTTTTTTAATGCTTATTTACTTTTATTAGAAAGGAAGATTATCAGACAGAGAAAGAAAGATCTTCCATTTGCTAGTTTATTTCCCAAATAGCCGCAATGTCCAAAGCTGAGCGGATCTGAAACCAGGAGTCAGGAGCCTCTTCTGGGTCTCCCACATGGCTGCAGGTTCCCAAAGACTTGAGCCATCCTCCATTGCTTTCCCAGATCATTAATGGGGAACTAGATTGGAAATGGATCATGTACTGGAATCCATATGTGATACCAGTATAACCTTAGCTGCTATACCACAATGCCAACCCTGAAAGAATAGTGAGAATGTTTTATTTATTTATTTATTTATTCATTCATTCATTCATTTATAAAGATATATTTTATTGGAAAGGCAGATTTACAGAGAGGAGATAGAAAGATCTTCCATCCACTGGTTCACTTCCCAAGTGACTACATTGGCCAGAGCTGAGTTGATCCAAAGCCAGGAGCTAGGAGCGTCTTCCGGGTCTCCCATGTGGGCTAGCAGGGTCTCAAGGCTTTGGGCCGTTCTCTGCTACTTTCCCAGGCCACAAGCAGGGAGCTGGATAGGAAGTGGAGCATCTTGGACATGAACCAATATCCATGTGGAATCCTAGCACTTGCAAGGCAAGGATTTAGCCACTGGGCTATCACACCAGGCCCTGTTTATTTCTTAAAATATATTTATTAATTTAAAATCAGAGAGAGACAGAGATACAAGTAGAACCACCCCCTGGTTCATTTCTCAGATAGCTGCAGCAGCCCAAATGGTTTAGCCCCTATCACCCATGTGGAAGCCACAGATGACACCCCTAGCTCCTGACTTCAGCAGGGCCCAGTATTGGCCACTACAGCCATCTAACAAGTAAATCACCACATTGAAGATGTTACTCTTTTACCTCCCTTTCTCTATATAACTCTGTCTTTCAAATAAGTAACTATTATTTTTTAAAATATTTATTCATTTGGAAGACAGAGGGAGAGAGCAAGAGATATGAAACTGTTCTATGTACTAGTTCACTCCTCTAATGCCTTAATAGCTAGGACTGGACCAAACTAAATCCAGAAGCCCAGGTTTCCTGTGTGGATCACAGTAGCCCAGGTACTTGAGTCATCACTGCCACTTCCCAGGGTACACATAAGCAAGTAAGTAGAATCAGAGGCCAAGTCGTGCTGGGGGACGGAGTGGAGAGCATTGTGGCACAGTGGATTAAGATGCTGCATGCAACAGCATCCCATATCAAAGTGCTGGTTCAAATCTCTGCCAATATGCATGGGAAAGCACAGAGATGATGGCTTAAGTACCTGTTCCCCTGCCACCCTTGTGAGAGAACAAAGAGTGTGAAAGAAATCCTTTAAGAATCCTTGTCTTCCCTTCAGCCTATGTTTTCCCTTTGTTTCACTGGCTTTTCTGTAGTTTGCCTTGTAGGGTAGGAGAACGTGGTGGCTGAGAGGAACAGTGCAGAGAAATACTTAGCTAGTTTCCATTGTGCACTACAGCTGCTTAGCAATTTTTTTGAAGTGAATTCTACAAAGATTATGTTAACCCTGCTACATGTTTCTAGGTAGACTATGGATGATTTTGACATTAGTCAATAATAAATAACAGGGGTGGACATTTGGCAAAGCACTTGGGTGGTCTGCATCCCATATAAAAGAGCCAGGGTGCAAGTTCTTAGCCTCATTCCTTATTCCAACTTCCTGCTAATGGCACACTGTCAGTGCCAGCAGGTGATGTCTCAGGTACCTGGATCCCTGCCACCCATGTGGGAGATTGAGATTGAGTTCTGGGCTCCTGCCTTCAGCCTGACCCTGCCCTGGCTATTGCAGGCATTAGGGAAGGGAAACAGGATCTTATAAGGTATTTCTGGTTCGTTATCTGTCTGGCTCTCCCTGTCTCTGTTTCACACTGATCAAAATAAATTGTTAAAAAATTTAAAAAGCAGCAGGTGTTATGGCATAACAGGTATTCCACATGCGCACCAATTTGTATCCTGATTATTCCACTTCCAATCCTGCTGATGGTCGAGGAAAGCAGTGGGAGAAGGCCCAAATATTTAGATTCTTAAAATCCTCATGGCAGACCTAGATAAAACTCTGGCTTTTGGCTCCTGGCTCCTGTCTTTGACTTGGTCGAGTCTCAGCCACTGAGGCCATCTGAGGAATGAACTGGTAGATGGAAGATATCTTTCTTCCCTCTCTCTATAACTCTTTCAAATAAATAAATCTTACTAAAAAAAAACACTCAGGTGTTTTTAGGATATCAATAAACAAGTTTCAAATCTTATACATTTGCTTTAGTTTATATTGTAATAAGATTCCAATGAGAGGAAAATATTGTTTTTTTATGTGAAAATAAAAACACATTTTAAATTTTATGTTACTCAGTGATTTGTTGTGTGTGTGGCCTTTTTGTGTATGGGTGACAGGAACCGAAGTATTTGATCAATGACCAGCAATGGAGATTCAACTTGTGATGTAGCCAAGATTTGTGATGGTAGATGAGAGCATGTTGTTAACAACCTCTGAGTAGCAGATGACAAAACTAAATTTTCAGAACCATTTGCTTCCTAGAAAGGGAACTGCCATACCTCCTGGCAGGCAAAACAGAACATTTACCCAGGGCGAGAAGTAGATCATCTAACTCTGCTGTATGTACAGCCTCAGAGTTGTTGGGCCCATGCAGTCAGTGCACAGAGTCTGTCGTTTGTTGATTTTTGTCTTTGTCTTGCTTTCCTAGGGTTACAGCTGAGAAAGCGAAGGATGTCCAGTTTGTTCAACCCCGGAAATATATTCAGTGCTCCAGCTCTGAGTCCACAGAGCCTGGCTGCCCTAACATTCTGGAATTGGCATCTGCTGTCTGCCGCTACGACCTAGATGATATGGATATTTTCTGGCTTCAGGAACTTAATGCAGACCTTGCAGAAATGGGTGAGTTATCTTCTCATAAGTAAGTTGTATCTTGATTCAACTCATGATGTTTTGGTTAAGTTGTCCAGAGCCTTTAATGTGTTTTTATCTTGTTGCTTCCTTTATTTTCTGCCCTTTTCATTTGTTTTTCTCTTTGATCTTAATGAAGTGTTTCCACGGATACATGAATATACTAAAATAGAACAATAACACTTAAATCTGACTTTTCCATTCATGATAAATATCATAGATCAGGGAAGGCTTGTAGGTTCTATAAGGCCGCTTTCTTAATTCTGAATGTGATTGATTATGATCATGGCTGATTTAGAAGGATTCTGAGACCAAGTCTTGGCGCTGCTCTGAAAAGCGCTCTGGTCAGAAAGTTTTTACCTCTACCAGGAGGACGAAGAGAAGCTCCGTCTTTAGCATTGGGCAACACCTCAAAAGTTTACAGATTGCTGGGACTGTATCACTTAATACAGGACTTGTATTTCTTATTTATTTATTTTAAAGATTTATTTTTTTATTGCAAAGTCAGATATACAGAGAGAAGAAGAGACAGAAGGAAAGATCTTCCGTCCGCTGTTTCACTCCACAAGTGACAACAACAAGTGAAGCCAAGCCAATCCAAAGTCAGAAGCCAGGGGCTTCTTCATCCTGGGTGCAAGGGGCCCCAGGATGTAAGCTGTCTTTCCCCTGCTTTCCCAGGCCACAAGCAGGGAACTGGATGGGAAGTGGAGCAGCAGGGACATGAACAACACCCATATGGGATTCTGACTGTTATAAGGCGAGGATTTAGTCACTGAGCCATCGCACTGGGCCCAGTATCTGGAATTTTTATGGCATAATATGTTTTCACTTAAAAAAAATCTCTTGCATAACCATTAGATATACTCAGTGAAGCTAATTTTCTAAGAATGAATTACTAATGTCAAAATAGTTACATGATTTGATTTTAATTATTTTATTATGCTACAAATTAAAGTGTTCAGAATTACAAAACTCTGGATTATCTGCTCACAATGGGATTAAAAATGTAGAGAGAGATTTAAAAGGAGACTGGCTAAAATTTAGACAAAATTGAAAGGGTCAGTAATCTGTCTGTTAAGCAATATGGTGAAATGTATTTCTCCTTTCATGTGTCAAACATTAATTTATAATTATAGGTAAATTTTATTTCAGAGCAGATAATGGATGGTTTTATCATTCAGAATTCTACTGGGCTTACAGTGATGATCTGCAGATGACAGCTGACCAATGGGTAAATTGATTGGTTCTGTTTCTGTGCAGGTTACGACCCAGTTGATGAAAATCTTTTGGAAAAGGCAATAGAAGCCATGGAACGCCGATGCCATGAAAATATGAGCCACGCTATTGAGACAGAAGAAGGGCTCGGCATCGAGTATGATGAAGATGTGATCTGTGATGTGTGCCGATCTCCAGACAGTGAAGAAGGAAATGATATGGTATTCTGTGATAAGTGTAACATCTGTGTGCATCAGGTTAGTGAGAATGGAGACCACCACCTCCCCCCAGTCAGCCCTTCTGAATCTCAGTAATGATCTCCACCAAAATCTGGGTAGTAGCTTGCATTTAAGGGTGAAAATTATAATTTGGCCTGGCAGTTATTCAGAAATTTCCTCCATATTCAAATACTTCTTATGATCCCTTAGATAACTTACCTATAAACTTTACTCAAAAGGACTACCTTCTGATCTGCATTTTGTCACTTCCTGCTGTATTCAATCTCCCCCAGCCCCCAGGGGTGACTCCTTGCTGCCTACCTGGTAATCTTTTCATCTGCCTTCAAATCCCTGTGACATCAGGTTACACTTAGGGTCAGTAACTTTGGTGAGTTTACACTTGCTACAGACATAAATCAGGACTCCTTAGCTTCATACCCAAGGCCTTCTTCCATCCTGTAACGTATCACTCCCAGGAAGCTTAGCCCACCCCACATTTTAAATTTTTTACCCTTTTATTATAGACAGGTAAACAAATGTAGAACTCCCTCTGATTCACTCCCCAGATGACCAAAATAGTCTGAAACTCAGAGCCAGAAAACTCAATCAAGATCTCCCATGTAGGTGGGAAGAACAGTTACTTGAGCTATTACAGCTGCCCCTCAAGAATCTGCATTAGCAGAAAGCTTGAATCAGGAGCTAGAGCCAAGAGTGGAATATAGGCACTCTGGTGTGAGACATGAGCGTCTGTTAATTGGCCATTAACCTGCTAGGCTATGCTAGCCCCATGCCACTTAAAAAGACTGTCATACTTTAGAAATATAAAGGACTAAATCCTCAGTTCAAAGCACTCTGCTAAGGAGAGGTGAAGTAACTTAGCTATCAGTGTTTGTACACCATATCGTTTAAATAATGATGATTACATCAGTGCTGTTTTCAATTCTTCTCTGTTTCCCCCACAAGCTTTAGGCACTAATGAAATTAGATTATCCAAAATATATTAATAACCCTTTGTCTTTATATGTCTGTAACACACAAATTTAAAAAGGTCTCCCACCTGCAGCTATCAAAAACCTACATAACTTGTAAGATCTACTTTGGTCCTTTTGTGAACTCTACTCTTAGCCCAAATGATGTTTCACTCTTCTGAACCTACTTGTATATTTCATTCATGTCATTGATTTATCTAGTAAATAGGTACTCGGCACCATCCATGGGCCAAGACTGTGCTGCATGCTGAGGAAACGGTCAGTGCTGAAGAGGCAGACATGCTATCTGCCCCCAGGAAGATCTTAGTCTGTCTGCTGTAGGGGCCACAATGAAACATCCAAGTTAGCATAATATGCAGGTGTTTTTGGACAGTCAAGTCCAGGATGCTGTGGGAATTCTTGGGAGAGAAAGAAATCAGGAATAGCATCCAGAAAATGGGACCCATAGTGAGTTTTAATCAAATCACCACAGCAGATGTCAGGTAGACCACCAAAGTATGTTCAGAGAAGGGAATGTGTTTCGATGCAATAGGAAGAATAGGTGGAATGTATCCAAAACTACTCTGAGTGCTTCAGAACTGTAGAGCAGTGGGGTGGAGTAAGGAAGGCATGGAGTGTGAGGGTGTGACAAACTGAGAAATTCACACTTTACAACATTACCCTAAAGGGATATTACTCTATTATACCAAGATCATTACAGCTAAGATGAATGAAATGATTATAATAGATTACATAAAAAATAGAGAGAACTTCCGATTGTATTACTTGGACCACCTAACCCCACCCTCTGTATGTAAATGATCCTCAAAATTATTCTGTGATCAATTGGGTCTTTTTCTTCCTTCAAACTAGTAAATTTTTAAAATGTTCTTCACTCTATCAGTTACACGTATATCACACTTTCAGTAGGACCAAAAATACTTTACCACTTAAATATGAACTTCAGTATCTGAAAAAAAAATGACCCACAGTCCCTTCTCCACAATTCAATAATCATAACAACTTAGAAAACTAGTTTGCTGATGTTTTACACCTAAACTGATTTAGAGACAAAATTAAAACCTGCCCAATTCAAAGCTATTTATAGTCTTTATCTGTTTTGTTATCCAATTCTACCCATTATGAAGTTAGGTAATATATCATGTATGTACCAGATTACTTTCCAAAGATTTCTCAACCTCAGGTTTTCAGGTAAATTGTTACTGACCTGTAGTAGATTTGTAAGGTATAGTAAAAATATCAGCTACATAAATTCTCCGTATTTTTGCTTCATGATTATGTCAAAATATTAAGGAATCATTTTCAGTTATCCAACAAAATTAAATTTAACATAGCAGTCCTCCCCAAGGAATTATATTTGTTTTTAAAACATATCAAACAATGACTGTGATAGCCCTGCCTCACCTAGGAAGAAATAACAGTAGCAACTGATCAGGCGTTCCAGAGTGTAAATCGATATGTATTCGAGCTGGGCTGTTGGTACCATATGAAGTTTCACATGACAGACCAGTCCAGAGTGTGTCAACTAAGATCCTAGAAATACCTAGGTTAGAGCTCCCTCTCTTGACTAAAGAGTGATTTACCAGTATTTGGAAGATTTCGTTTACTCCTGACAGAATCGGGACCTGCTGGCATCTAAATATATTAAGTATGATTTTTCTATGTTAAGTTTTTGTTTTTCAGTGAAAAATATATGCTTCAGTCAGTGCTTTAGAGGAGAAGTGCATATGAGTGGATTTTTATGCTTTAATGATGAACATTTCTTTTTAATAAATGAAAGTTAGCATTATTTTTCTGCTTCTTAGTTCAACTGAACACTCATAAGACATCACTTAATTTGCCTAAAGATGCATATATTCTTGCAGGTTTTTATTTTTAATGTTTTTTCTTACCATTTTTACATGTTACATATATATGTAATACTTGATACTGACTTTATTTGCTCCCCAAGATTCTAAATAATTATACATAATATGAATATATCAGTGCATGCATGCAATTTTCTCAAAAAACTCTACAGGATCCATCATTTTATGGTCCAGAAAAAAATTGAGAGTCACTGCTATGAAGTATAATCTTCTATGATCTTATCACAATAAGTAAGTCCACAAAAAAGGCTTAGTAAATTATTTTCTGCTTGATATAATAGTCAGAAGATAAAAGGCATTCCTAGAACTGGCTACTGGCCTCCCTTCTGCCAGTTTGAAAGAGGCTCTATTTTAGGGAAGAAGCTTGCTTTCATTTCCTGGTAAACATTCTAGACTTCAGAGAAGGAACAGCTTCAAAGATTAGGAACTTTATAAAAATGAGGCTCCTCTGTCAGGAGAGCAGTGTGAGTTTCCAAGCTACATTAATTTATTCTATGAAACCACACAATTGAACTCAGCATAGGAGGCATTCCAGGTAAATACATTCCAGATAAATGATTGCTGTAGCCCCAGTGACTTCAGAATCTCCCCAAGAAGATGAATGCAACAGCAAAGCAGAGAACAAGAATACACCCTGTTGACTATGTAGTTTATGAAGGAAATCACACAGAGTGGCAGACAGAAGTTAGGCAGTGGAGTAGATACAAGGTTCTTGTGGCCTGAGAGAGGTTCTTGGGAAAGACCTGGGGTTTGAGCCAGGTGCAGAGGGTCAAAAGGTTTGATTGCGAAAAGAAGTTGACTGTGTGGAGCAGGAAAACTGTTAGACCCAGAAGAAATAGAATGATCAATTATACGGTAAACCAGGAGGCCTGCTTTTCCAAGTCAGGAGCTGTATGTTTGGGTGTGATGGAGCATGAGAACACAGTGAGGAACCGCACACTTCAGATCAAGGGCCTGGAATGTTTTGAACTTTGCCTCCCAGGTACAGTTTCTGTTACGTATTCTTATAGCCCTTAAAAATGGGAAAGCCATTCTTTTCTTCTTGGTCTAACTGGCCTTCCGTAGTAGCTAACATATAGTTTTTAAATAGGAAAGCAGATGGAAGCAAAAGGAATCGTTGAAAGTTTTGTCACCAAGAGATGGTATAGAAGCTTTGTTTTAGAAGAATATGACAGCTAAATAGAGGAGGGGAAATGAAAGCACAAAGAGCGTTAGAAATCAATCAATACAAGAATGGTATGAGGAGAACTTGGATGGAACAGCTGTGGTGGATATTCAGAGGAAGGCAGGAATCTTGGGAATCACTTTGTTGGGAATAACAAGCCACAGGGACCAAGATTGAAGAAAAGTAGGTGAAATGAATCCAGAAATATGGATCTGAAAGAAAGAAAACTGGGTGTGATGTACAAAGAAGTTTGGAAAAGGAACAGGTATTTCAGGGTAGGTATGATGGCAACTGTTATTACTTGAGGTTGAGCTAAGCATGAATCTCCTGCAGCAGACTTTTGAAGCTGCCATGTTGAATCAGTGATGAAGGGTCTTCCATGCCACACAGGTGGAACTAAGTGTCCCCCAGGTTTAAATAGAGTAGAGCAGTAAGGAAAGGATGGATGGAAATGGGGATACAGAAGAAATCTAGAATGTTTCCAAATCAATCTCCCACTTCCCCCAGTAATTCATTTATTAGTTCAACTTATATAAAGCATTTGAAGCAGGATTCATTATGGATTGTTATTATTAGTATAGTATTCTATTCAACATTCATTCACAAGGCCCTTTTCTTGAACCCAAGCAAATAATTGCTGTGATTTGCTGAGTGTTTTTTATGCACCAAGCTTCATTACACTTTATAAGCATCAGCTTATTTGTTCCTCACAACGCTTTTTTTTTCTTGGTTACAATAGTACCCAGCATGTAGAAATTGTTCAACAAGTTTGAGTAATTGTAATACATACTAATTGGAGAAATTCTAGAAACAGGTAATCCTAACAGTCAGGTAACAATTGGGCTAGCGTTTGGGTCTTTCTCCTTCTAATCTTGTTCTATCATCCTTGAAGCCAGTTCTCAGAAACCAACAGCTGATCTTGGGACAGATGCTTGGCATTACTTTTTTAATGTGAAATAACTAAATCCTGGGAATGCACTTTTGCTTTGCTTTGGTTGCCTCCCTTGAAAGCAAAGGTTGTGTGGCTATCAGAACAGACATTGACCCTGTAGAAAAGATGCTGACTATTCTCTCCTCTCCTCCTCGTGCCTCCAGGCCTGTTATGGCATCCTCAAGGTCCCTGAAGGAAGCTGGCTTTGTCGCTCCTGTGTACTAGGCATTCAGCCACAATGTCTGTTATGTCCAAAGAAAGGAGGTGCCATGAAGTCCACCAAGACAGGGAGTAAGTGGGCTCATGTCAGCTGTGCCCTGTGGATTCCAGAGGTAAGAACTCATCCAGGCCTGGGAGGCTATTTGCTTCAGCATGTCCTCGATCCCTACAGTGTTAAGACTGACTTGGACCTAGTATAAAGATGCTTGATGCTTGCCCATGTTTCTGAAGTAAGTAATGCTTCCGCTTGAGCTCCCTCAGACCCTTTGGGGTACAAGTGTCCATGGAATCCCATACTGAATAGCTTGTAAGGGATTATCTCAACAGTTGGAGAGGAAGAGAAGCACAAAAGATCAAGGTAGAAGTAACATTTTTTTTTTAAATAAAACCTACCTTAACATAGGAAATATTAAGTTTAGAGCTTCATAAATTTTGTATATGTTTTTTAATTTAAATGAGCTCATACAATATGTACTCTGTGTGGATAGCACTCCATGATGTGGTACAAAATAATCAGTACTGCTTTAGATTGCTGAGTGGTTTTCTATTATACAGTTATACTATTTATGTATCCATTCTTTGTTATTTCTAATTTAGGGCTACTACATATAAAATAAGCCTAGTTCTTTTTTTTTTTAAGTATGAATTTTTATTTCTTTGAAAAGCAGAATTACAGAGAGAGGGAGATCTTCCATCCATTGGTTTGCTCCCCAAATGGCCACAGTGGCCAGAGCTGGGTTTATCTGGAGCCAAAAGCATCTTCTAGGCCTCCCACCAGGGCACAGGGGACCAAGAAGGGATCTTGATTGGAAGTAGAGCAGCCAAAAGGTAGTTCTACACACTATACTTCAATGCTGGTCCCAGCAGTAGTTCTTTTACCTACTATGATTATTGCCCTTTATTTTTTTGAAGATATATTTTTTGAAAAGCAGAGAGACAAAAATCTTTCATCCGTTGGTTCGTTCCCTAAATGTCTGCAGCAACCAGGATTATTCCAGGCTAAAGCCAGGTGCCTAGAACTCCATTTGAACCTTCCACGTAGGTAACTGGAACCCAAATACTTGGACCATCATCTACTACCTTCCAGGACACATTAGTCAGAAGAAGGATCAAGAAGCATAGAGTAGCCATAACTGAAACCTAGGCCTTCTGAAGCGGGTACAGAGATCCTAAGCAGTGGCGTAACCTGATGCGCCAGAATACCCAGGCTTATCTTTTACCTTTTGGAACGTTTCTTAGAGCTTCGGCACAACATTCTTTACTTAAAACCTTCTTTACTTAAAATCCTGCTTTTCATTATCTGACTTGGTCTTTCAGCAGATGCTATTTCCTGGAGGGCTGTATGTACACTAAGTCAGTTGAAGCAGGGCAGCCAGACATTTCTTTTTCTTATATCTTATGGCTGTGTGTCTCCCCTCAATTTTTAGTTGTTCAGATATTCCTCACGTCCTCTCTCCTCAACTGCATCCAAGCTAACAAATTTGTTAGGCAGTTCAACTGCATGACAAGAGTATACCATTCAGTTAATTGGAAACTGGTAGTACCGTATTAGTAATTCACTTACTGTATTAGTAGTTCATCCCTGGCTTTAATCTTGTTAATATTGGTATTAGGGGAGTTGCTATCTAATAATGAAGTTTGTAGAGTTAAACTAAAAGCCCCACATTGAAGGTTTTTTTGTTCTTAAGCTTATAGACATCAGTATTTCTAAACACTCAAATACAGTAGTAGCTTCTTTTTCTAGTGAAGAACTTCCAACTTACAGAAGTTTAGAAAGTAACTCGGGTTTCTGGCCTGAGAGTGATTGTTTTCTAGCAGCAGATTCCCCAACTGACAAAGCAGTCTCTGTCAGTTCATAAAAGTCAGAAATATGATTCGGGAAGAGTTATTTAACAGTAGAGTAAGCCTTCACAGCTGTTGAAATTCTCTTTGAATTTCTAGTTCTTGCTTTCCAATACCATTTTGAACTCTGTTTGCTTCCTAATGTAGAAAGCATTTATACTGGTTTAACCATCCTCAGTCAACAGCACTCTTTTTGAAATTGTCTCTAAGAAATGCATGTACATGTTTGTCCAAAAAAAAGGGGGGGACAGGAAGGAATATACACAGTTACTTGATTTCTTATTTCTACACAGAAAAAAGTTTCCTTTTATTAAAGCATTCCTTTCCTTTCAGAAATTTTCCAAAGACTAATTTCATTTTTAAGCTACTTGATTAAGAAAGTACACTGACAATAAATTTGTTTTAGAAATACTTATCAGTCTGATCTTTTCAGCTTATATGCTTCAGTCTCTTCATTATATCAATTTACTTCAGCTTTCCAACAATAATTATGCTTCTTTGTAAATCAAATGGAAAAACTTGCTACTTCCTCTGATTTTCATTCTTACTTGATTAAATGAAATAACAAGTCACATGACACCATCTCTAAAATACGAAAGGTGCTAGAATTTGTTCATCTTTATTTTTTTCTGTAGTAGCTTTCCTTAGTTTCTATGTAAAATATTTATAATCTTATCCATTGAGATAATCATGTGGAGTCTAGATTCTTGCCTTCATCCCATATATGAATCATTTATATTATTGGAATTGATAGAAGAATTATGCAGTGGATAGACAGGTTTCTGTTTATTCTTGGTTCCATATTAACCTTAAGAGATGTGCCGCCTTACTTCACTACACTGGTCATGTTCGGGAGCTTCATGTGACATCATTTATGGTTTGGGAAAAGTACTTCTGGGATGCCTTGGTGCTTCCTGCTTACATGATGTGTTATCTGTAGGTAAACATCGCTTGCCCTGAAAGAATGGAGCCAATTACAAAGATCTCCCAAATTCCACCCAGCCGGTGGGCCTTAGTCTGCAGCCTGTGCAAGATAAAAACTGGAGCATGCATCCAGGTAAGGCCTCATGAGAAGTAGTGGAGCAAGCTAATCACACATTGGCCAGATTGATACTCCCAGTGAGAGAATTGTAGTTCCCTTAACTGAAAGATCACTTGGAAGGCTACTCACTCCTACGTCTCCACCACTGCATAGGCAATTTCTGGAAATCATTGTTAGCTGTTACCTCTGACCTGTCCAGCTTTTCCTTTCCAGTATTCATAGGAATATCTCCATCCTTTGCTGTCAAAGTGTATAAATTGCATTCTGAAGCTAGATGATACCACCTTAAGTGAAAATAAGCTATAGCTCTAAAATAGACAGGCCCACATTCTGCGGCTCAGTCACTGTGTATGGACTAAGGCAAGATGATTTGATGAGTAGTACCAATGTTAGAGAAAGATGCCTTTGAGTGGATTAATTCTGGTGGCTAGTTTTGGAAGCCAGTCTTATAGTCATTTGTTCCATATATAATGCAAGTAAAATTTCTGAGACATAGACACAGGAATTCAGTCGTTTGAAACAGAAGTAGCAGCTAATGTGTAACCTAATAATAGCAGCTGGTAGGATCAAGGGCTTGGAGAAGACTGGAAAAAGAAGTTGTCTCCAGTGAAGGGATAAAGGTTGACTCTTCATAACTTTACTTTCTAGTCCAAATGTAGCAAGGTGCTTTGCTGAAAAGAGGAAAGGAAGGCTTGGCCATCTTCTACTCCTTAGACTGTATTCAAATAACCTGCAGACTAATTGGAATTAGGAATTGCCTATTAACCTTTACTGAAAAGATGCCATACAATGGTATAGCTTAGGCACAGTAGCTCCAGGTTCATTTTTTTTTTAAGAAATTATTTATGTTGGAAAGGCAGATTTATGAGAGAAGAGATACAGAAAGATCCTCTGTCCACTGGTTCACTTCCCAAGTGACCACAACTAATGAAGCTGAGCTGTTCCAAAACCAGGAGCCAGGAGTTTTTCCAGGTCTCCCATGCGGTCTCAGGGTCCCAAAGCTTTGGGCCGTCCTCAACTGCTTTTCCAGGCCACAAGCAGGGAGCTGGATGGGAAGTGGGGCAGTGGGGACACAAACTGGCTCTAATGTGGGATCCCAGCGTGTGCAAGGCAAGGACTTTAGCCACTAGGCTACCATGCTGGCCCTAGCCAAGAGCTTTTTCCAGGTCTCCCATGTGGATATACAAGAAGTTGAGCCATCTTCTTCCTTCCTAGGCACATTAGAGGGGAGCTGGATCAGAGGTTTAGCAGCTTAGACTCAAACAAATGCCCTTATGGGATGTCAGCATTTCAGGTGGTAGCTTTGTGTGTTGTGCCACAGCACTGAATACACCCTTCTCCCAACACACACACCAGATTCATCTTGCAGATTTCTTTTTTCTTTTTTAAAGATTTAATTATTTTCATTGTAAAGGCAAATTTGCAGAGAGAAGGAAAGACAGAGAAAAAGATCTTCTGGCTGCTGGTTCATTCCCCAAGTAGCCGCAACAGCCAGAGCTGAGCCAGTCCAAAGCCAGGAGCTAGAAGCTTCTTCTGGGTCTCCCACATGAGTGCAGGGTTCCAAGCCTTTGGGCCATCCTTCACTGCTTTCCCAGGCCATCAGGGAGCTGGATGGGAAGTAATACAGCTGGGACACAAACCAGCACCCATGTGGGAGAATTAGCCAATTGAGCCATCACACAGGGCACTTGCAGATTTCTTTGAATCATACCTGGAATCCACTACTTTCCCAAGTAACCCCTGATTCTTTTATTGGGAAGGAATATTTAAATAATACAATCTAGGCTCCTGAAGGCCCTTTTAATTTTCTAAATTAATTTTTATATCTAGGAGAGTTAGACATTTCTTCATGCTTTTATTTGTGTTTTTTTTTTTACTTATTTTAAGTACAGCAGTTTGAAAATTATTTTAAAAAAAAATATCTAATGGTCTTTTGCCCTAGCTCATTGCCTGTTTGTTTCAGGTCTCTCCTAGTCACTGCTCCTCATATGTGAGCCCCTTAAGAGTCAAGACTGTATAATTCTTTTGTAAATTTCCTCTGGTACAAGTAAACTACCTCTTCATTGTTAATGCTCAGTATTTATCTAGAAAATATATTTTATTGTACCATAGATTCGTTTGTGATGCACATTTTTTTTACTAAAATATGAAATATCTTCCATGCTTTTGTAATCATTTAATAGCTCATTGACCTTATGTCCAATAATTTACTTACTGTCCTTGCTATAGTGCCTGTATTTGTATTTTCTCCCTACTTTTGCTGTCTTAAGGGCTGTTTTTTTTATAACCTTTAATTGCTAGCAGCATAACTATGGTAAGAGGAAATGTTAACCTTGACCCTAGCAGGCCTGGATTTACATTACAGCCCTGCGTTACCTACATTTTTCCCTTAATTGTAGTTATTTATGAGCTTATTTCCTCCCCCTTAGACTAAGCTCAGGTGGCTTCACCCTTAAATTCCTCCCAAGCCCTGACATAACTTACAGATAATAACAATTAGATCAATGGATTAACAGATGGATTGATGAAACTTTCTGAAAGAGGTTCCTTATTTTCATGGATATTTTTCTTTCATTTCTTAGAGTTCAGATTCTTCATTTTATAAAGGTCTTGCCAAATTGAAGCCCTCAATTTTTTTATTTTAAGAAATTACATCTATTCTACAAATGTCTGTGCCTAATTATATGCCAGGCTTTGAGTCTGTTTGAACCAACAGAGTTTTGTTCTATGGAGTTTTTTTTTTATGAGCCAAACGTTTATTTATTCATTTCTTGCATTTGAAGTATTCTTCAATGACATCTTTGGCTTGAGATTCTTTGCCATAGTCCTTAACGACTACGCAACTGCAGCCAACCACTTTACGGGGTTTCCCCTCTCGGTCAGTTTTACAGAGGCCTACCCATTCCCCAAGTTTCTTGTTGTCATCAACCTTAATGAGGTTGATCTGGTGTTCGGCACACAGGGCCTCCACCAACTTGACATACATGGGCTCATCACAGTTGGATGCCAGCACACAGAGGTGGGCTTGGCGCTTGTCTAAGGCTTTGGCAGCTTCACGGATGCCACGCGCGAGGCCGTCGTGGATGAGGGCGGTCTTGAGCACCTCTTGCAGAGCAGTGTTCACGTCCATTACACCTCCAGCAGCGATGCCTTCCTCGGCCATGGCGGTGGGTTACGAGTGAAGCCGAATCTTGAACGCACTCAGGCCTCGTTTCCACGCAGCTCGGCGGCAGCAGCAGGAAAGAGCACTCTATGGAGTTTATATTTTAGTTGGGAGAAATAAATGAGAAGCACAAAATGTTAAGCAGCATATTAGAATGTGGTTAAGTGCTATAGAAAGGCAAAAGTGTGGCGTAAGTTAAGATAGGCAGGACAGGAGCCTGAGTTTACAATTTAAATAAAATGGTCAGGGTAGGACTCAGTATGAAAATGAAATGTCAGCATAGACTTGAAGGCAAGAGAGGGCAAATGTAACAAGTTCTGGGTGGGGTTTTTTTTTTTTTAACTTATTTCTAATAGTCTGAAAGGCAGCTAAAGAGAAACAGAGACAGAGAAAGATCTCCCATCTACTTGTTCACTCCCCAGATGGCCCCAATGGGCAGGATTGGGTCATGTCAAAGCAAGGAGCTTCACTGGAGTTTCCCACATGGGTGTAGATGCACGAGCAGTTTGGCCGTCCTCTGCTGCTTTCTCGGGTACACTTAGCAGGGAGTTGGATCAGACATAGAGCAGCTAGGACTCAAACCAGCACCCAAAAAGGCCACAGTTTAACCTCTTATACCACAACTCTGTTGCCTGTTTAACTTTTTTTAAATTTATTTTGGGGCCCGGCGCGGTGGCGCAAGTGGTTAAGTCCTCGCCTTGCACGCCCGGGATCCCATATGGGCGCCGGTTCTAATCCCGGCAGCCCCGCTTCCCTTCCAGCTCCCTGCCTGTGGCCTGGGAAAGCAGTTGAGGACGGCCCAAAGCTTTGGGACCCTGCACCCGCGTGGGAGACCCGGAAGAGGCTCCTGGCTTCGGATCGGGATCGGCATAGTATCGGCCCGTTGCGGCTCACTTGGGGAGTGAATCATCGGATGGAAGATCTTCCTCTCTGTCTCTCCTCTCTGTATATCCGCCTTTCCAATAAAAAATAATAAAACTAAATCTTTAAAAAAAAATTTATTTTGAAAGAGTTATAGAAAGAAAAAGGGCCTGGTGCAGTGGCCTAGCAGCTAAAGTCCTCAACTTGAATTGCTGGGATCCCATATGGGCACCGGTTCTCATCCTGGCAGCTCCACTTCCCATCCAGCTCGCTGCTCGTGACCTGGGAAAGCAGTCAAGGACAGCCCAAAGCCTTGGGACCCTGAGCCCAAATGGGAGACCTGGAAGTGGCTCAGCTCCAGCTGCTACAGCCACTTGGGGAGTGAATCAACGGATGGAGAGGGTGAAAGATCTTGCTCTCTGTCTTTCCTCCTCTCTCTATATCTGACTTTGCAATAAAAAAAAAAAATAAATCTTTAAAATAAATAAGAAAGAGACATTTTCCATCTGCTGGTTCACTCCCTACGTGGCCGCAAGGGCCAGGGCTGGCTAAGCTGAAGCCAGGAGCTTCTTCCAGGTCTCCCATGTGACTGCAGGACCCAAGCACTTGTTTCATCTTCTGTTGCTTTTCCCAGACCATTAGCAAGGAAGTGGATTGGAAGTTAAAGCAACTAAGACTATCATAAGCTGATGTCACAAGCAACAGCTTTATCTACAATGAGAGTCCAACAGGTTCTGGTATTTTCCAGTATTTTGGAGTGACTGCGGCTCATGATCATGTGTTACATTCTGTATAAAGAACTAGAACAGTAGACCTGGTAGGTTCCAAACACAAAAACAAGCAAATTCAAAGGCTGGTTTGCCCGCTCTTTTTGATTTACCGGAATATGTGTTTAACTGTTGTATTGAAGCTTTTAAAAATATGCATGTATCCCATGCTAATCCAAATTTTTAAAACAAGAGTGGAAAAAAGGAACTATGCAGATTTTGGA